TCACACCAGTGGAGCAGAGCTCATTATGTGCCCTGCTGCCTATTGCTGTGAGGGGTTAGAAACGCTTCTCTTTCTTTCTGCTGCCCTAATGCACTTGCTGCCTTTCCCATTCTGTTTATTTTGTGCCACCAAAGCAGTAACAATCAGCCATTATTCCCTAGTCGTTTTTCTCTGAGGTGAGCACATTCCCGAAAACAGGAGCGGCAACTTCCAAAAATTAAAACAAAACAAACATATGTTGGCCACGTCAATTTCTATTCAAATTGTCTGACAGGTTTCTCTAGTTCCTTTGCTGGCGACCAAGGTTCACTTCCAACTCTCAAGTCTTCAGTAGCTCAGGACAGTAAGTGCTGGCACAAACTGACACCTGCTGACCTTCCTTTGAGAATATTAAGTCTTGCTGGAGTTTGTGAGGTTAATCGATTCTACTCAACCCACTTGCATGAAATCCTCGGACAGGAAAGAATACGAAGAGAAAAAGCCAAAGGAGATTTTCATGCAATTTTTATAGCTGCAGGATTGCTTCAATTTACAGTGGTATTTATCTCATAATCTCACCCTGCCTGGGAAATACATCTAGATACTCATATTATTCCTTAAATAAATAAATAAAGCGACCACTAAACTGTACCTTTAATTCTCCAACAGCTTCCAGGTTATGCTACATTTGAAATGCTAAGCAGCAAGGTACAATGCAATTTCATGACATTATCAAAACTGTTCATGATAGTCTAGTGCTTCCCAAGGGCTTGTCTAGCGCTTCCCAAACTCAGGGAAGAGATTTACCTTGTGTAGACTGGCACCCAAAGAGTACTAAATGTCGGGAAGCTAATTCAACTCATTATAGTCACATAGAGATTGCTGTGTTAAACACTGGCTCATAGAGCCGTCCAGGCAACAAGCCTGATAAACTTGCCAAATGCTCTTTCCTCCTCGTCGCAGTTGCCAACACAACCATTTATGTTGACCTGGCACTTGCAAATGTCATTTTGTTACCCGAAAGCCAGACCACCTATCACTTTGCAGCGGCTAGAGTCCACTGTTACCTCTATATTTAGGATCTTTCTCCATTCCTGATATGGGAACCACTTACTGACTTCCAGGCTTTCCTCAGGTGGCAGGCTGCAAGGGTGGGGTGCGGGGGACCTACATATAACATCAGTCTTTCACATGATGCAAGAGTGAACAGCACATCAGCTGAAATACTGAGTTAATATCCTCCCAGCTCCCCTGGCTAAACCGATCTCCAAAAGGTTGTTGCATCAAAGGTGCCAATCTTCTTGCATCCAAGTTTGGCCACGCTTCGTACTCCGTGCAATGCTGTCATTGTGAGCCGGGAACCAAGGGGGACCCCAGGGCAGGCATACTCGTGCCAACAGGGCAGTCCCACAGCATCTAAACACAGTGGGCAAAGCTGCATACTGGTAACGGGCTCCAGTGGCAGCCCCAGACAAGATGAGCAATGAACCAGGGCCATCTGGGGGGCCCAGAGCAAAAGGGGAAGGGACCAGAGGCAGAGCTGAAGACACAGCAATAGCGTGGGTATAGAAAGGGCCACAGACTAAGCTGGAGACAAGCTGCAACATACCTACAAAAGGTCCATTCAGGTGGCAAGCTGCCTGCAGCACAGGTCCAAGGTCCATCCAGGAGGCTAGGCTGTAGATCAGCACAACTACAGCATAGCCAGGGCAGGAACTGATGGCCCCAAGATGAGCTGAGATAGGGCTTCTGAGTCCTGGGCAGGCTGTGGATGGCAGCCTCAGGTGAGGCAGGTCAGGGCCATTAAGGCCTATTAGTGCCCTCATGGCCTTGACAAATACCGAGCTGCAGAACATGAGGCACCATTCAAAACAGCAGATCTGACCAAAAGGATTTCTCTGCTGCCAAAACATCACCACCCCAGTGTCTTTGCCTTTCTTCTGTGATCAGCACTGCATTTAGTTTGATCTGGATCACTCTGCCTTACAGGTCTCCAACCAAACTAGCTGGAAGCATTACCAAGAGAATCCACATGGGATAACTGGGCAAGTACTTCTGGCACAAACCTGCTTTGCACAGCAACACCCACATCCCTAAATAGCTGTGTGATTAAAAACAGCTCAGTTTTGGACATCTAGTAACCGAAAATAAAAAGCGATAGGCATATATTTAAATCAAGACATAATTTCCAATAATGTAGAGTGATCCCTAATTATTTGCCACTGTTCATAAGGCTATACTGATATACGTTACTCCACCGTATCACTTTCAGACCTCGGAAACACTACACAAATGTCACATATGAGTAGCTTAAACTCTGAGCAGTAGTCTTTCTATTCATTCAACTTAAAATTTTTAATTTTTTTCCTGTTACAGACACTGATCAAGAGTGCTATATAATCTTTGGATTCATCTGTCTGACAATCATCTAATTAATTAGTCATCTGATAATTAAAATGCCCTCCTTTTGACTGACACCTGATCTCAGGATGGTTCAAAAGAAACTTGACACAGCACGTTGTGTCATGTTCCAGCATAACCCACTACAGGTATGTTATCATGTTATGCCACGTTTGGTTTTCTGAGAACAAAATGAACGAGTGCGCAAATTAAAGGAGGAACCAGTTGTGCAAGTATCTATTCTAACCAGTCCAAGTATCTGGCGACCTATAGGAGCAGATGAGCTTCTAGAGTACCTTCAAGGCTGTCATTAAGCCCAGAAATGGAACTGTTTTTGGATATGTTTAAGCAAAGGCATCTGATCCACAATCACCATGCAACCCCTGACACACTAAAGAGCTAAAAGAACACTTATAAGGAAAACGTGACTAAAATCTCAGCTAAATTGACACAGGGATAAAGTACTACTGACAGTTCTACACAGGCAAATAAAAGTCCACTGACATTGAATCTGAGACACGTGGACTATAAAGGAAGAATGAAAGGGACCAGTCATCAGATGCATCATGCGCTTTTCTTAAGCAACTTCCTATTTCACATGGGAACTTCAGACCACCCAGCAACTCCTCTGATGCCCCTTCAGTTCACTTTGGGATGGTGGGAAGAAATTCAGGCTCCCAGGAGCAGAACAACTGCCTCAGAAGCTGCCTCACAGTAAAGGGCTACCTCTAAGTGCCCTGTGAATCTCACTTCTCCAGCTACGATGAATCCTCCAGCTTAGGGCAAAGCTGCTACCCTATCCAGGGCACTTTACACTGTGAAAACAACATGCCTCGAAGGTACCGGATGTCATTTGCATTTTCTAAACATTTGCTCTTCAGTAGCATTCACCTAGAAAAACAACGCGCAGGCTTGACTTCACTATTAAAAATTCACTAGCTGGTAATGATAGCGTTTTTCATGACTGAAAAGTTTGCATGGTTCCATCCTCAGGTCCAGTTAGCATATTTAGGAAAAACTAGGAAATAGAACACAGAGAAGATGACAAGCAGCACCAATCCTACTGTGTCCCATTACTGAAGACGGCCAAGGACGAGTAGCAGCAGACCTACAGTGTGTCAGAAGAGGTGGAGATTAATTGGGGAACTTAGGTTTGATCTTTTGACAGCATCCCCTTCTCGCCAGGCTCTCTCCCCATCACATGATAGAAACACCAGTTTCCAAGGCAATACCTCTCTCCTCATGGATCTTTTCTCAAGTCAGGGAGGAAATGAATTTTGTGGGAACAACAGTATCAGTTACAGAGTTGGTGTCCTACCCTTCTCTCACAGCAGACTGATGCAGGAACGTTTCCATTGAACTCAGTGAGGCTGAATGGTGAAAGCAGAAATAAACATTTACATTTATTTTATGCTGATGCTAAGTAGAAGCTTTTTAAAAAAACATGAAATGCTAGTGAACCAAGATTTAAGGGCAACAAAGCTATGCAACTATAACAAGTTGTGGGTCTCCTCCCAATGGGATATAGGTTTTCAGTATATAATTAATAACAAGAAAACTGTATCCTGACTTTAGGGCCTGCATGAGCATCCTGGAACAAAAAGGGCCATAAATTAACATCAATTATGTATTAAAGTTCCAATTAACCTGGCTGACACTGATATACTTTAACAAGGTACCCTTAGATAAAAGAAGCAACTCTCTAATTACTTGGAACGGGACCTCCTGACCCATTCTGCTCTTTTATCCCAATGCCAACCTAATGAGGAAGGAAGGAAGTGAGAGGTAGGAAACTGTGCATAAGGCAAGACTGTAGCACCACAAGACGCCCCTTGGGAAATGCTTTTACCTTCTTAAAACTGTCAATGATTAATATTTTATTGCTCTCAGTGCCTTTTAACCGTTTTCAGAAGTGTTTTTAAGGCTGAAATTGCTAACGTTCACTTTAATGTGGAATCCTGCCACCTAATGAACATCTTGGTCACCGGTTCCTGGTCTGTAACACACCATAGCCACAGTATTTGTGCTGATGGTACCCAGGGTTCCTGTATTCACAGTATATACTCAGTGATGCTCCTTGAAATGAAATATCTTAGTCCTGAAAAGAGAAAGGAAATCACAATGATTTTTATATATTAACAGGAAGAATTGGTATAAATGCATTTTACACTCCTGAAATTTTGTGGAAAAAACAAAGTCAAAAAGGTAGGTCTGTATAAAAAGTGTGCTGTTAGCAAGGCAGAGCTACAATAGTCAGGGAAGTATGCACACAGTATCTAATAGGGCACATCATTTTCCCCCACCCCCTTTTTTCCTATGTTGATTAGAATCAGAAAACCCGGGACATCTAGTATGGCTGGTACAAAGGGAAATAAATACACATGCATCTCCTGTCCCTTAAAAAAAAAATAATGTACAGAGATTGTATAGCCTGGCGGTCTAATGCATCTTGTTCAGTTGTGTCGAGTGCTCACATCCTTTACCCTTCCTTACCTCCTGATCGGACTTTGAGCATATGCAATTATACAAAGGCTAAAGAGGGCTGTTTGTCCTGGTGTTGGGTTTTTTTAATTACCTGAAACTGTTGTACTTTAGTGTTGAATGAAAGTTCACCAGAGCAAGGCAATTTCTATAATGGGAACAGTGGATGGACTAGCTTGTCCCTGCAGGGCACTCCTCTGTCATTGTCATATTGTCAGCGTTGCAAATAGTTTTAAATTCATGATGACACTGTCCCCTTCTTTATGGTTTTCCAGTGTAAAACCTTCAGCTAGGATATAGTTGGAGTCTCTCGGCTTTCACAGTCAATCTCCCACTAGCCACAAGTCTGACTTCTGTCCTCCGGGAGGAAAGGTGTTAGTGGATCCCATCAAAGGCACCTCCTAATTAAAGTTGCAGTCTTCAAAACTCAGAGGGAGGCAAGCTAAACTTGAGGATTTCTGCTGGATGACTCCTGCAGAGAGCACTTTCCTGGGTCTTCACAGCCAAAGGTTATCTTTCACAGGAAAGATAAGCCATGTCAGAGTTTAAACTTAAATGCTTTGGGTCATGCTCTTCCCCAGATGGAATTTCCCCGCAGAGGGAGGAAGATTTGCTGTAACTGTGCTGTGTATTTCCACAGCGCAAGAGGAGCCTAGCAGCTTCTAGGCCCTGAATCACAACTCCTTTCCAAAGCTAGGGCTGCTGGAAGTAACATGCTCCGTTAGCAAAAGCAGTCATGAGACAATTGCCCAAATCATAGGCTCTCCAGCAAGATTTCCAATATGTCTTTGCTGTAGTCGGGAATTTTGCCTTTATCGTCTTCCCCGTAACTTTGAGCCTTTCTGCAGAAGTGAGCCGAGAATGAAGATGGAAACGTAAAACATACATTCAGGCCTCTTTAGTCTCCCAAAGGGGTCAGAGTCAGGTCACTTGCAAAATCTGAACAGTTGATGGTTGTCCCGAGCTAATGTTGCCATGTACATTATCCTCCTCTCCTGCATACGCCACGTTTTCTGGAGAAATATATCTGGATCATTGAAAAGGCTGTGTGGAATCAAAGTGACACAATCACTTTGTATGACACTATGTATCAAAGTGATACAATCAATTTCTGTCTTTTGTGACATCCTCAGATACTTCAGTAAGCCCTCATGGAAAAAGACACATCCCTATTTCATATATGATACATAGCCCTTGATCCATAGACCAACAGACTATTGCATATACCAGAGGGTACTTGCTATAAGTCTCTTGCGGAAGACATGCTACTTATGCAGTATCCCATTCAGCTAAGTGACCTACTTATTGGTTGCACATTGTAAGCTATTATGATGAGTGGAATGTGATCCTTGCTGTTCTGCTTTGAGTAAACTTTAGCCTTTGGGTATGAGAAGATTCGTGTAACAGAGGACAGCCATATATGTTCAGAGTGCGATTTTCAGAACCATTCAGCTCCGTCCTGAAATCAAACACTGGGCAGGATTTTTTTTTTTTTTTTAAAAAGGGATCACTGGTATCCTCAGAAGGTATATTAATATAAATACTTTGTTGTGAAGCACTTGTGGGATTTGTGTAGCATATAGCCGCCAGAAAATGAGAAGCAAAGCTAACAGCATACACCTCTACCTCCTCTCAAACACCCGTCTTGCCATTACCTGCAGTATCTTTCACAGATTACACATGATTTCATCCTGCCCTTTTTTCCTTCTGCATACCCTCCATTACCGCATTGTTTTGCCCACCCCATCAATAATGTTGGAAATATTTCTCTTACCAATTGAATAGGGTTTCCAGAAGGAGACTATATACAGAAAGTTTGTGAAGAGCAATAATGAAAGTCTTCAGGCAGAGTTAGGGTGGTAACTTATAGCACGCAGCAGCTAAGTGCTTATACAAATGCAATATTGATGCTATGCATACTCTGAACTGATAAAAGTAACTGCAGAAAGGAGAGAGAGAAAAAAAAAATTAAACCCTGGTGCTCACAGGAAAATAGCTTCTTAATAAATATCTAACTAGCTTTGTTATCTGTCACACTGGTTAAAAATGTGCCATTCACCTGGGAAAAATATACCAATTATTTGGTAGTGCTCAGCTACAGGTGAGCATTAAAGAGTGCTGTCATCTTTGCTGGTTACTATTTGAATGGAAAAAGTCCAGCCTCTTCTGGAATATCAGTGATGTGAACAGGCAGCAAAGTACAGGGCTACAACTTTTTGCCACCAGTTTCTCCTGTTGATTAATTAGATCCACCACCTTCTCTGTAAGAGACTTCACTGAGAAGTGAACAAAAGTGAAATCTACCACAGCATATTCAAATAAAAAAAAGCATCTTTTGTAAAAGACATGGTGGGGAAAAAAAGAGCGTCCTCCTTGAGATCTTATCTCTTTTCCTTCCAGCTTTACTTCTCCATAGTTTCATTCAAAGCAAAGTATTGTCAGATTCCAGGAAGGGCTATCCTTATCTGCTAGGGCCGTTCTGGTACACATTCCTCTATACAGCGCAAATAGAGACACGCACCTGGTTCAGATGACTCTGTCCAATGGTAAGTAATATGCGAAAACTCTTCAAAGTGAGCCAAGCCTGACAGTTTACTCAGTCTTTTATAACTCCTCTGACCCTGCCTTGTTCAAAGAAAAACTTTTTTTTTTAATTCCCCCCCCCCCACGCTCTCTTTTAGAGGAATGAGAGAAAAATTAAGTGCCCTGCTTTGACACTCAGCTTGCTGCTTGCACACAGTCAGCCCAGCTGCCTTCCCAGATCTCCACTGCATTGTCGATATGGTTCTTCTTGTGCCAAGACAAAATTTATAAATAGATTTGCCCAGTCAGTAAGCCCTTTCTCTTTAGAAATACAGGGATTCAGCCAAAAAGAGGATTATTGATAACATGCAATATCTTTATTATGGCAGAGACTGCTACTGCTACTATAGTTAAGGACCTGTCAGCATTTCCATTGTAAGATTTCCTTTTTTGTGCAGGGGTTTAACTTGGCAGTAAAAATTTAAATGTACTTGAGGCTAGACTTTTTCTTGCAAGAGTTCAGCATGAGAGTTAGACATAGGGCTCTCTCCTCCCCCTCTTCCTAATTAACAATTAGTTCAAAGAGTTTTAGAGTTTCTCAGGTGAATATACCTCTCCTGGTAGCTGAACATACCTATCCTGGCATCTGTGGGAAACAATACCTGACCCAACATCAAATAGTATAGAGCAGAGCACAGCATCAGGGCTTTAGGAGACTGCTGGACAAACATACAGGGCCAAATCCTGCTCTTATTAGTAATGGTACCAGAAAAAGTCCAAAAAAACAAACAAATAAAAATCCCACACCACCTAGGTAGCTCATTTTCTTTATGACGCATCCTAGTTGGCAGATAGGTCTGCCACATCTTGGGAGTCACCATCTCCCCTCTATCCCCATGTAGTCCATGGCTTTCTGTTCAGCCTTTGGCAAATTGCTCACGTTCTTTTCAGTTTCAGCATTTAGGATAGAAAATGCAGAAAATCATGCAAATGATTTTGCATGCGGAATTCATTCTGCTTCAGCTCAAGCACTTGCTGGCAGGATATAATCCATCTTCCTTTGACTTCAGTGGTAATTAGCCTGAGTTCAGAGCCATGGCTTGTTATTGGAGAGCTGCTAGCGTTTATAGACATGCTTAACTTCAGGGAGTCGATAGTTTGAGGATAGGACTACTGAAACACCGCAGTGGAGCCTACACAAGCTTTGTTAGAATAAGGCCATCTTTGCTTTCATGCTCACAAACATACAGACGTAAATGCTGCTGTGTGCTCTGTGATAAATCATCTGCTGTCTTTCAGGTTAAAAAACTGTACATGGGTTTCATTTTTTTCCATTTTGAAGGAGGAAAAAGCCATAGCTAAGGTGAAACATAAACACCATTTTCTGCTAAGGTTTTCAAAAAATATGGATGTTAAATTTTTTGGGGGCGGGGGGGGCAGAGAGAGAGAGAAGGGAGACTGGAAAGGTGGATGCAGGAGTGGTAGATTTTCTTTTTAGCTATGCGTCCTAGTGGGATGCTGCATGTGTTTTTGGGCAGCTGACAACAGAACAAGTGTTTTGCCCTCGGATTCTGAATTGCTCTGCTCTCAGACTGAAGTCAAATCCTTAACATTCAGGGAACACAGGCCTTCTTTAGGGTGCTTTAAGCCCAGCGTAAGTTATTTAAAGACCTTTACACACATGGTACAAAGCTTTCCTTAGCTAGTGTCTCTCGATATTTGTATTTGTGATCAATCGAGTAGTATCTTTTGTGCACCAAATCCTACACAAAGAGTAATATTTTCTATTTTGTCTGTTGATAAGATCTTCAAATCCTACTGCCCCTCTGACACACAACTGAAATTTAAAAGAGTATGTTTCTGTCTACTTTTATTTTTTTATAATATAAGGATTTAGCTAAGACTTTGACACCGTGGAAACTAGACACAGGATACGATCCTGTTCCATCTAAATATATCCCCCGACTTTCAATCACACTTGCCTCTTATATTTCATGAAAACTGCTCTTTAGCTTCCTCCATCTATGCAACTTTTTTGGCCAGCAGGATCACCTTGCGCCCATCCCTTAGCTTTCATCACCAGCCATTACCACTTCAAGAGAGAATCACATGCGTGAGTGCAGAGGAGGCAATTCAAGAAGCTAGGCCCTTATGAAACTTTGATGTAGAATAGCAGTAGGGTAATTCTCCAAAAAATTAAATGTTAAGTGGAAGGCAACTTTTAACCTGCTCAACTCAGTGCCAAACGCAGCTTTGATAAGAAAAGCAGACCAGCTTTTTCGTTCTGATTATAAGGAGAATGGGCTGTACGTTTAAGCCATCAGTTCCACCACAGATCTTTGGTACTTGTTTATTGTTGTCTTTGGGCATTAGGTTTTATGGCTTGTTACAGCTCGCAAGTGTAATATTCATCTACAGGGCTAGGATATTACCATGTTTTTGACCAAACTATCCATTGCTTCTATTTCACACAAAATTTGCTGGAGTAAAGGAGATGGGAGAGTCAAGTCTGAAACGCCGCGTGATGAAAACAAAAATCTCCCATTTAAGATAGCCTTTTCTGCTTCAGTTTTAGATAGCTGCATCTCTAGAAGAAAAAAGCTATTTCTGTCTCTTAAAAACAAATTCATGGTATTGACGGATCTGGCTTTTCATATTATAAGTGTAAAAACGGAACAAAAATTGAGCTCAGAATTACAGGACTTAATACAATTATCAGGCAGCACTCGTGCTAGTCAGGATACATGCCGTGATCAGCCTGGAAGACAGGGCTGCCTTTCCACTCTACCAGAGGTAGCAAATGTAGCTCTAGCAAGGGAGGTGGGGGGGGAACCCAAACCAAACAAAATTCAATATTTCTGCCCACTACTAAGGGTTATTTTTAAGCAGCTTGTTTTAAGTGCCAACATGTGTTATTTTACCTACACAAGACCATGGAGCTCAAAGCTTAATGAAGGAGGCAAGACATTCAGGAGGAGTTGGAACAAATGTCTTAAATTTTTGAACCTGTCTGTTTTGCCAGTGACCCATACAGTGAGTGGCTGTGTCAGCTAATCACTTAGCTGGCCACTGCTGACAGACAAATACCTTGTGGTGACATCTGATGGAGTTGTTACAAAGCACTAACCTTTCCAGGGGCCTGTATGCTTTCATCAGAGTCGTAGGCTGTGCATGTTGTATGCACGAGCTTGGCGTTTGTGTATAGAGATATACTACAACCATAATAAATGCTCAGCTATGCACATGCTAACTCAGAGGCGTTCAGACGAATTCTTTGAAAAGAAGGCGTTTGTGTTTACTTGGGCATTTTTATTTTAATCCAGTGATGATAATTAACTGATTAATAGTATCACAGTCATCAAAAGAGATAGCATGTTTTCAAGAAGCATGCAACAATAGCTAACCCCTTTTATGGCTTTAAATGTAAAAGCAAATAATTACATCTTTTTCAAGCCTTGAAGAGAATTGCTTTCGACTATAAACACTAACTACTGAAAAGAAAATTCTCCAACACAATACTCATTTTTAAATGGCCACTTTTCCTAAAAAAAGCTTGCAACAGCTGTGTTTCAGGTGCATATTTAGGGACTAATTGCAGACGTGGAAGGTACCCAGACTACCAGATGAGGCTCTGCTCACCATTAGGGTATTTTTACTTGCGGATCAGTTCAGCCAATGTCTTTTTTTAATGCGCGCATGCAATACTGATCACACGGGGAAGAATGCAGATTATCTCAGGACTCAAGACAGTGCCCCTACCACGACTCTATAGAACTCGGCAATGCTGGTTTGTTTTCCTTCTCTCCAAATCTACTCCCAGCACCTCACAAATCATCTCACATTCTTTATGCTTACTGAAAATCAGGACTCACTGTAAATTCTGCATGCAGACTATAGAGGAAGGCAAAGCATGAATCTAGCACTGTCATTTGCCACACAAACCTTTTATTTATATTCTGATAGAATTCAGTGCCTGCAGCTGTGCTATCTATAATACGCGCTACAAGCATAGCGCAAATAGGTCAGCAAGGACTCCCCAATAAACAACCCTAATTACCTTTATCTTCCACTTGACCTGCACAGTCAGCGGGGTTTTTATGTCAGCTTTGTTCTCTCTTGACTTCTCTGGGGTCTGACCAAATCCCTCCAAAGCGACAGCAGAACTATTGGACAAGAGCTGGACAGAGCTTTACACAAAAAGTGATACTCCATTAGGTAAACAAAGTTTACTCTCAAAACACAAGTGCCCACATTTAGTTGCTCACATAGAAACAGACTTACCAACTTATATATGAAGTGCTTGCGAAGTATGGAACTAGACCAAAAGTCCCTTTCACATCAACAGTCTTGAGCATTCAGCACTGAACGTTGTTGCTTTGAATGTTTCCAGCTCCTGAAGCAATTCCACACAGACATGCTGACAAAAGAATAGTTTTTGCAGCATATGGCTGATCACAGCATCCAATTCCACCAGTTTGAAACGGCCCCCATAGTGCACACTAGCATTTCTGCATACAAGTGGAACAGATGCTGTAGAGATCAACGTAATAACAGTTTAATTAATTTTAGTGTCAAAGTCAAACGCTTCCCAGTTTGCAGTTGACACATCCCTAATTTCAGGGTTGGCTCTGAAAATTCTGAAGAACAGGAGGACAAATTTTATACCAGAGTGAAATACTGCAGAAAGGCCTGATGAAAGGCAAAAGAAACTTTTCCATTTTCATAATCTGCATAATCTTGAAGTCATAATAATGGCTACTGTCCACACTTTGTTATACAGGGTTTTACAGATACAGGTTTCTTTTTTTAAGAAAAAGAGAGACCCTTTCATTCCTTACTGTGAACAATCCTGTTGCATAAAAGCATAACAGTGGCATGGAGCTCCAAGTCAAGAACAAGGTCCCGTTCCAGATGGGATACTGGGCCAGGAGTCAAGAGACTTGGATCCAGTCCTTGTTCTGCAATTGAGGCTTTCTGTGAAGAGAAAGCACCGATAACAATGATCCCTTCTGCAAATTAATCAACCACTAAAAAACTCTTTTTCCTTAGAGCCCACAGCTCTTTATAAACAGTACACATTGTACAGATTCAGCCCCAAATTACTAACAGTGTTCAACAGATGAGCTGGAGCAAGGGGGAAGAGGAAGAAACAAAAAAATGACCTGCCCAAGGCCATATTGCAGGTCACTGGCATCACCAAGCACTATCTGCATGACTTGTAAGTGGAAAGACTACATCCTGCATCTCCCATTAGCACCCTTCACTCTATCACCAGAGGATAACAGGAAAAGCAGCCCAGTAAAATCAAATATATTTAACAAGCAAGTAAGGCACCCAGACTTCCGGTCAAAGAAAGTGAAGTTAAGCAATTTATTAGTAAAACACTTCTAGGAGAGGTAAACATCTTTGTGGTCTAGATAGACTTGGGATTGTCACAACAGTGAGAAGAGGCAGAGGGTGACGAGCGATTGCTTGTTGCGCAAAGTGTTATGTTGAGTTGCGTTCAGTAAATGTTTATTCCACAGGCAGGAACTAGTTGTACTTGTAGTGACCACTTAGGCCTGAAACCCAAGATCTCAGTGATTTCATCTGAATGCATTTGCTGGTGCATGTCACCCCGTGCTCAATATAGGCAAGTTCTCAGATTTCAGCAGCAACAAATCTACCATCCTCCTGCATCTCTCACTTCAAATGACCCAAACTAAAGAGCATCATGCACACCTCACCTTCTGACACTCACTGGGGTATCACCTCACAATTAGGACTCTTCATCCTGATGTATTTCATCCAGCAAGAGGAGACTGTGACCGGGACTCCACACACATCGTCAAACAAAGAGGGCCCAGATCACAACAGCCCCAGCCATGGAAATCCCCCACCTCTCCAGCAATCACCTCCAATCTTGAAACAAAGACAGCTTGAGGGGAGAAGTGATGGGGAAAGGAAGGAGTGGACCCTTAGTGATGCTTAAGCAAACACATTTGGAATGAGGCTTAGATTACTACACATGTCAAGGTGAATTTTTCCTCCTCCCCCCTCCTCATCATGCTGGCAAACTGTTGATTACCATAGGCAAGGAGGCCTCTTGACAGGGCGCTAGCAGAGAACAGAGGCAAAAGGGTGGGAGGGCGGGGGTCATTTTGCAAAGGAAAGCATGTAAAAACGCACATCTCCTCGGGGTCCTTTTGTTCTACGGTCATGCTCGACTTGCAAATCCTGTTGCACTAAGATTGCAGGCTGCAGATACCCTAACAAAAACAATACCAGAGCATGGCCTGTACATCCCAGTGATTTTGGGGATAAGCTGTTAAGAGCAGGGTGACAAACCACTGTGATCCTTGAGCTTCTGTGTGCAAATCTGAAGCAACTCCTTGCACTAGGATATTGCACAAAGAAACCCACAAATCAAACACAGTAATATCAAGTGTATGTATAGCATGTTTTACCTGCGGCTCTTGGAGCGATTACAAAGAGAAATGGAGAAGAAAGGCTCATTACCACCATTTCACAGATAAGGAAACTGTGGCACAGAAAGGAAGTGATTTGTCCTGCAGACCAGTGGAAGAACAGGGCAGTCAAGTCAAGCTTCTTAAGTCCCAGTCCGATGCCCTCTCCCCTGAACTATTACAGCTGCCTCTGACCCTGCAGGAACTTCACATTTGTCATTATGCTTTACACCTTGATCATGAGGCTGGGTGTCTTCAAAGCACTGCCCTCAGCTCCTTGGCCAGGAGAGGAAAAAGCTCCCATGTACCTAATCAAATATAATTGCCATTCCTGGAGAAAAGAGATTCCTTCTCAACTCCTCTGGATGATAATTCACCCTGTGTTCAGGTGTAAATGTAATGCTATATGTGAGCCGAGATAAAAGTAACTCCTCTGATCACTTTTAACTCAACGTCCCTTATGCAGTAAATTTCATACATCCCTATTGAAATAGTACCAGGAATTGGCTGTAATTTTGTTGTCTATTAACACAACTTCATGCAGCAACTCTAGAGTTTTCTTACCAAAATATATGCTCCAGAGAAAGTCTCCTCAACAATAAGAGCCCTTCACATTTAAATATATAGATAGCAGAGGATTAGTTGAGCTATCGAGCTGCAGCTGAGGGACCAAGTTTCAAGGAGGAAAGGCTGGAAGGGCACCAGTCCACCATGGCTCCTGGTTCCTTGGGGGCACAGCACACCACTCCTCCCCATTACAGCTGGGGTTGTATTGCATGGGAACAGGGAAGTTGCCAGGACAGGAATATGGGTCAAAATCAGCTCTTAAAAGTTGACCTGGAAAAGAGTAAATTGCTGTGGAGGTTCCAGAGCAAGAGCACAGCCTACTTGAAAACAGGGACACTAAACAAGCTATCTACAGCGTATTGCTCCAGCTGTAAGCTGTGTGGATTTGGGACACACACAAACACAATCGCACAAGACAGATGACAGCATCCTGGTGGGTACATGGCAGGTTTCCTTCCTGTGTTGTTACCGAAAGGTTGTAACGGTAACCAAGTCAGGCAGTTAAAATATCAGGCATATGAACAGACAACAAATGGGGTCAGAAAGGAACGGATGTTTTCCCTTAGGTGCCTTGCGTAAACTTGCAGCAAGCTATGCACTAAAGGTGGCCATAGGTGAATTGTAATCCGGGCCAAGAGTAGAAAATCACAGGATTAAAAGTGGGTGGTCAGATCATTCGTTTGACTTGTAGAAGGGGGAGAGAGAAAAAGAAAAAGATATCCACTCATAGGCAGCAAGCAGTTTTGCAGGGAACAAAGAAACCTCTCTCACACAGACAAAATTGGTCTGCCAGGAACTGAGCCCATCTAGCTCCCCACCTCCCCGCCACCCTCCCCATATCTTCCCCTCTAAAAGGATCTTTTCTGGGATTCAGGGAATGTGTGTTTATAAAATAGTTCCATTCAATTAGGGCACAGAGTACAGCAGCTTTATATCAGAGGCAACCCAGAGCGCGAGCTCTGTGGAAGTGCAGGTACACGGTAATGATGACAACCCTGCACTGGTTGTAGTGTCATCACCTCTTATTCTTAATCAAAAGGCTTCCAATCCCTTCTCGACGTGTGCACTCGGAAATGAAGGGACTGCTGGAGAATCATTTGAATGTGGCAGCCCTAGATAATGATGAAACGAATAAAAGGCTCACTTTTTTGTTTAGGTTGGAAGAAGAATTCAGGATTCCTCTCGCGAAAAGGTAGCAGTTTAATAGCAGCGAGGCAGAAGGGCTTCTCGTTATCCGCAGAGGCTGCTGTTGGCGCGGCGCTAATGGCCACGGCACGGGCTTCCCCGGATGCTCCCGGCTCCGCGGCCCCTCAAGGAAGCCGCACACCGGCAGGGTGAAAGGAGGCTGTTTCAGGAGACTGCACAGCACCGAGCAACAGCGCTGTGCTCGAGCACAAGGGCTTTGCTTTGCAGAAAAGGCAGAGGGCAATTTTTTCAGCTCCAAGCGAGCGCCTCGAGCCACGCAAACCCACAGCAGGTGGGCCAAGCAGGGCATACGGGCACCCACGCCCCCAGCATGTTTCACCCTGCCAGGGGTGGCAGCCGCATAAGCGATCGGGATGCTCCATGCAGTTGGAGTCCGTGTAAGCGGGCTCTGTGGCAGGAACCACTTGCACGGAATACAGGCCTTGGATGATAGGCACATAACGTACCTGAGCTTGGAAACGGGCCGTTAAGAAGCCCTGCCTTTCAACACAGTGCCTCTTACAGACAGTTTTGATATTGGATTTTGGCAAGAAGGATGCAAAGCAGCTGAGCATTCTCAGTAGCTCATATACACCTCACAACACAACTTTTTTTTTAAAATATCTCACACCACATTTTTGCAATATCTTTTGTACACTCTAGGAACCAAGCACTAACTCATAGAGCCTTTTTTCTCTGGAAGGTCAAGAGCTGCATCGTGTTAAATCACCTCTTCGATACCTGCTTGTTCCGTTTGAATGCCTAACCATGCCAGGCAAGAGAGACGGTAAAGGAATTTTTTTTTTTTTAAATCAGCATTATTTCAGAGAAATAAAGTTAAGTAACAGAAGCTTTTTCAGTGACTTACAAAGCCAATGGAAATAATTTTTGCTGCTATTTCATTATTGGCTTCTCCGTTCAAAAGTGAAGTTTTCGCACACACACAAGTTCCTGACATTTGTAAAACTGCAGCCACATCTTTAATTTTCTACCTAGCCCTTTTTAAGCATTGACATTTTTCTATGCCAAAGCAAAACACAAAGAAAAAAAAAGTCAAAACAACTCTGGTTTAACGCTAGTTAAAGTTACTCTATTCGCTGCAGTAACATTTGCCCCAAATGCAGAGCTAGCAAGGTCAATGGTTTCACTTTTCACGCTTCAGCTACATTAATATAATAGTTTGCCATTCCTGTCTATTACTATATACGTTCAAAGCTTCATAAGCTATCATGCGCAGCCTGATCTCTGACACACAAGACATGTTAACAACAGCTTTTCCCATTCAGAAAGCCAGCAAGAAAGAAGTCAGACCTTTCAACATATGTTAAGTAACAAATATAAGATCTCCATGATGTCCTGCATGATGAAACACCTTACAGCAGGTTAGAAAAGGAAGTATGTGGAATCAATACATTTCTTCTCACAGTTGCATAGCTGCATACATCACCACTTTTAACTTCACTGTCTTCAATCCAGCCTACTGTGTCCACAAGTAATATCATACGGACAAGGCTATAGAAAAGCCAAGGGCATTATAAGCGAACAATGTGGTTATTCAGCGCATATATCCAGGGTTAGGACAGAATGACCAGTGACACAAAAAAAACCCCCAAATTATGATGACATTTCACTGTATATCAGTCTCTGGTGGTTTGAACACCTAATATGAAAAAGAGCCAGCAGATAAAAACGAGCTTACAAAGAGCATACAATAAACATAGTCAAGCAGAAACAGATATGCACACAATTTTGTGATTTCCCCCACCCGCACCATTCACGAAACCAAAATGTATCAGTTAAGACAATTGAGTCTCCTACCTGATGAGGGACAAAAAACTCCACAGCTCTCAAGAAATCAGGATTCATTCAAGAAATCTGCCTCAGAGCAAAAGAAGTAAAATCATAGTCAAAAAAAAAGAATAGATGAGAAGTCATTTACTAGTTTCTTGTATCATTACTAATAAATAAAATAAATCATCCCATACAACACTTTTTGCCCAAATTGCCTTTTTTTTTTTTTTTAATTACTCCTACGTGTCTGCTTCTGACAAGAATGCTTTCTCTAGCTTTTCCTCCTTTTATAGTCTCCCCTGCATCATCCTGGCAGGCAGAAAATTACCTCACCTGTGGGATAACAAACGCAATAGATGCTTTTATTATTGCTATGTTTCTTCCTCAGTCACTTTCAGTGGAGCAATTAAAAACCTTAACCAGATCAAGGTGTTCTCCACCTGCTTTGCATGGAGCATAGCTGGCTATGTGAAACACCCAGTGAAAAAGAGTCAGGAGCTGTGTGTACATTTAAACTAAAACTAGTACAAATCCCTGAGAAAATATTTTAATCTTGGTTTTCACCAACTTATTTGGGTTGAGCTGAGATTGTTTCCTAATCAATTTAAGCTATATCAATCATAAAGGTGCCCATACAGACTTTTGTATGAGTTTTATAAAACCAGTCTATGATGTCTTGCTAAACCTCTTTTAAACTTGTTGAAAGGAAAGCACTGGCTATGCACGTAGGAAGATTCAGTGAATACAAGCCATAAGGAAAAAAGAAAGTATATTTTTACAATGCTTTAGTTGTTAGATGGTCAGCTGAGGAAAAGCTGATGTGAGAAAGGTCATTTTAACCCTACCGGGGCAAAAGACAACAGTGTTTTCCTACTTTGGACACGTTAACTCCGGTGAGCTCAGAAAACAAGAAAAAAACAGCATCTACACTCCTATAAAGTGTGATGAAGTCCTTCTCTCAAAAAGTTGCTGTACAGATGTATACTCTTACCCAAGGTTAATAAGCAGCCTAGTTAACTCTAAATTAATTTAACTGCACAGTCTTAAACACCCTGCTCAGCTGTGACTCTCTCTTTGTGTTAATAAATTGCGCCATTAATTGTGGCATTTCGGTTGCTAATAAGTAAACTGCAACGTATTTTACTTGGACTGGATAAGCACCCTGTAATTAGTGCTAACTCACCTGGCTGCAACACGGTCACCTATAGTCACCAGGAGCTGAGGCTGACTGATAATGGCAACGGTGTGTTTTGGCCACAAAGCGTTCTGCAGCTTTGCAGTGCTATTGCACTACTATTGCGGATATCCTTTAAGTCTCCTTCTCCTAAAACTAGATTTCCTTGCTGTCTGTGCTTTTGGACCCACACACTACTCACAAGCCTGCAGGCAAAACCAGCTGATGTCTACAGAAGTAACTACCATTACATTTTAGAGAAAAGGGACTGCTCAGTAATAAACAAATCTGGTCTTCCCCCAGTCTTGAAAACTGCTTTTACTGCCCAGATCTTGCATTAATGGCCAGAACTGACGTGGACAAATGTTTGACATGACTCTGTTAAATGCAAAGGAAAGTCTCTCCCTCTACCCTGTCAGCCATCCCCAGTTGTTTACTTCTAATTTTCCCCCCATTTTTGAGTAGCATTTGAAGAGGAAATCCACTAGACAGTGTGAGCCTAAAGCCAAGTGAATATATGTTTTATTGGCAGATGTATACATTTGTATACCAACCCAATGTGCTCTTGGCTCAAGGACATTAGAGACATTTATAAAGCTTCCTGGCAAATGGCTGTTGATTTCTTCACCCTGGCAACTATGCGAGGAGATTAGTGCACATGGTGTTGTGCCTCATCTGATGCCAAGTCAACTTCAGATGAGATTCTTTTTTTAAGTTCATGTAGTTATGGGTGATAGACCCTTGGGGGCCGTGGTTTGAACGGTATAAAAGTACCTTACACCCGTATAATTCTTTTTCTCACTCATAGATGCTGGTCCACAAAAAAGATTTTGGTTCTCTTAAGGGATGTGTTTCTCTGGTACACCGTCTTGGGATCCTGGGTGTGCGAGGAAGATCTCAGTGTTACTGCCAGATGCAGAGACATGTAGCAGAAGATACCAAGGAAGATCTCCTTCTCTGGGCTTTTACCAAGCGTGTCTCATCCTTCAGCAGAGGGAAGAGGGTTACCTCAATTGCCCTCACTCTAACTTTGGGACAGATAATGTAATCACGAGCCAATGCAAGGGATGCTCCATGGAGGCTCCTTTGGAGCTCATCAGGACCAAAGGATCAGGGCAGGAAGCAATGGCAAGAACATGTCTTTCTGATAAAGGCTAAAATTGACCCAAAAAATGGTGTGTTCCAAAGTGAATAGGCACCACTGACACAAAAGGTGAGTTCCAGACTAGTTTACAGCAGTAACAGAAAATATACTGTACGTCTGCTTGGTTCAGTTTAGGCAAACTCTGCTGTGTCTGTGGATACAAGAAAAAGCCAGAAGGGAACAGGGGTGGAAAAAAAATCCATTCCAAGTGTTATGTACCTGAGATCAGCTGACTTACAGCAGGCCTACATTCGGTCCAAAGAATCAAGCGGCGGGAAATGCGTCAAAATAAATAAAACAGGCCCTCTTAACCGGTAGAGCATCTATAACCATGTTGCAATTAAATTGTTGATGACGGTCTGAAAACATGGCAATTTTGTCTTCCTGGTCTCCCAGCTTGATTTGACAATAATCCCCAGCCGGAGAGCAGGTTTCACCCTGTGGCCCAGTTTTCTATCAGTTGTCAAAGGAGGTGTGAGGACACCCTTGTTCAGGCCCAACGTCTGGCCGTGTCTGCCCTCCGTTGTCTGTTAGTGCCTTTAATCAGCTTTTTTGTTTTCTTTCTGCTCAAGTGAAAAACAAGAATGCTGCGATGCTGGGAGAACACACCTGCGGGGCGGTCGCGTAGCAGCTGAGCCCTCAGAAACCCTGACCGCCCAGCACGAGCTGTGAAATCCAGAGCTTGAAGCGTTCTCCAAAGAGGCTGAAGGAATGAAAACAAACCATGCCTGCGTTCCAGTGAGCACAAGGTACTTAATGACTCTCTGAGGCCCAAGGTGAAATTAAGCAAGCAAAAGTTTACAGTCCGATTATTTTTTTTTAATACACATTAATGGCATAATTCAATACAGGCAGGGCTGCCACTGATTGTTCATTCAGGGTAAGTTCCCTGCTCCTCAGAGATTCAGTTACATAGTTATTAGTGCTGGAATACATATTTCTCTGGAAAGTCCCTAGGAAATGCTGCTGTTCGCTGCCGCAATTTCTATATAGCTCACTCCGACACACAGCAAGAGGTCACAGCACAGGGGCTGCAGGACTGGGACACCCTTATGCAGAAGGACCTGTTCGCACGGGCACACTCTCCAGCCACAAGCCAGCACGCAGGCTCCTCACCCGCTATGCGCCTGACGCTGCACAGCACCTCAAGCCAAAGCAAGAGAAACTTCAGCCAGAAAGAGGTTTTCAACATCATTAGCAAAGACAAATGAACAGTTTTAGGGGAATGGATCTGTTGAAATACAACGGGATGAAGAACAGCTCCGTATTCCCAGGGACAATCCAGCAAAGGCCCTGTCAAGAACAAGCAAGGGCACGCCAGGGAGGGGGCCAGCAGAGTCGGGGGGAAGCACGCTCCTCTGGGGAAGACATGGGGACTCAGGAGAAGTGGATTTAGCATCCAGTTCCACTACAGACATCCCAAACGACCCTGAGAAAAACACCTACTCCCTCAGTTTCCTATCTGTAAGAACTGGAGATAAAATGGTGTCTTTTCCTCCCAACCTTCTGTCTTATCTGTTTAAACTCCTGTAAACTCTTTTAGCGGGCAAGTGCATGCAGGACACACTCTCAGCAAGGAGATGTCACTGTTACTGGAATACAAATAACCTCAAAAAGATTATTCTAGGTCTGCCTATGTTCCTTTTCCTGTCATTTTGGTTGCAAAGTGCTAGCAGTATGCATTAGAAGATTTTCGGTCTATTGTGTTTGTATTTTGGACTCAGACTTAGATCTTATCACGTGAAAATGCCTCAGCTAATGCATAGTAGGACGTGATATGCTCCTTTTTGCACCGCTGTATCATTAGCTGGAGGAAAGAGGGAAAAGGGGAAAGAAAAAAAAATCCACCTTTGTGTAACTAAAAACTTCTCAGTGAGATTTGTTTAGTGTGAAAGAATGATTAGTAATTTTTAGTGATTAGCAATTTTCTCCCTCAGGTGGCTTTTCTGCATTCCTGTAGAGCTCACGTACACAACAGATGTGCCAAATGGGAAGAAAAAGCTGAGACAGAAAACACCACACAGCAGTGAAAACTCTAGTAGGCATTTAAAATACATAGATATATTTTACTGTTTTTAAACAACAGGCCTAATCATCGTGAGGAATGAAATCTTCACTTCTAAAGCACTCTGTGTTTGTGCAGAATTGCTCCTAAAGCCCTCCAGATCTTACACGGGTGACACAAGCAACTTAGGAAGCACAAATATCTATCTATATAGATAGACATATTTATGCTTTCCCTTCTTCCCTGTATTGTTTAGGCTGAGCAGAGATGAAAGAGACCCCTTGGTTCAGCCAATTTTTTTTTGCTCCATGACATGCTGAGGAAATTGTACTCTGGTGTCTAGCAGGACTGGTTTTATCTGCCCCATTGTGCAACTAAAGGTGATTTTTAATGTGGGTTAGAAGGAAACACTTTTTTCCTTCTCTCTTTTCCAATTGATTCTGCTGCAGGAGGGATCTTGCTTTATTTTATGAGAGAGCAACATAGGGCCAGATTCCCACGGGGGTAAACTCTTACTGAAGATGGTAGAGTTGCATCAGGGATGGATTTGACCCACGCTATGTTATTTTTTTTTCCCTTAACTGCAGCTCTCCTGCAAAACCTCAGTCATTACACCTGGTTAGACTAGAGACTTGACAACGCGTGTGGCCTCAGAATTTCCTTTTATGAATCATCCCCTGTCTCACATAAAGATATCCACGACGAGCTGAACACGACTGCTTAGTTTGATGGCAATCGCACCCTTTGCCCAGCCCAGGGCT